GCAAACTGTCTTTATCGATCAATAAGGACTGTGCTGCAAATAATAATAGTTTAAGAAAAAATAAAAAAAAAATATTTCTTTTAATAAATTAAAAAAAAGCGTTGAGTGGCATTGAAAAAAGGCACCCAACGCCTTTTCAAATTTTTTTTAAACTATTTTTTTTTTAATTTTTGTATTACTTATATATTAAATTAGTGTATTGTCATCGGTCCTCGATATACCTCCAAAGTTTGAACGACCTTTTGAAGTCAGTCAATATCACGCCCAAAAGAGTCGGTTACAAACAAACATACAGGTGAAGCTGAAATGCGTGAAATACCTGGATAAAGTTGGTTTTATCCTAATTTTGACAAATAGGTATACGAATAATTTTTAGTAAGTAAACTAAAATTAAATAAGTAGGTAAATCAGTATTAATACATATACATTTGACGTCTCTAAGGCTATTTGTAATTTTAGTTTTCTTGGATTCAAACAAGTCGAGGCTCAAAATGAGACCCAAGATTTCGTCAGGATCTTGACTCTATATATATACCAAATGATATATTTGCGTAGAGTTTACAATATCAGATAACCAAGCTTGGTCCTGATTCCCATCCAACATATTACTTAAGTTTTACTTGGTCATGAAACCAACATATTACTTAACTTTTAAACCTGTTCATAAAAGTAACCTCCTCATTTCGTCACCGGATTTTCTTACGTCAGTAAAATTGTTGCTTAACAATTTAAAACTTTTATGTAGTTAAAACTAAAATAGTATATCTGTCGACTGCACGGATGGCGTAATGGTTTAAGCGGTCACCTCGCCGCTTCCTACTGCGCTGAGTGTTGTGGGTCCGATCCCCACATGGGACAACACTTTGTGGTGTTCTTTGTGTCCGTTCTGTTTGTAAAGTCCCCCGCGACACGAGATATATTCCTAGTGCTGGAGTTGTCTTTTTAAAAAAGAAAAAGAAAGACTTGTATGAAGCTGATCACACATCAGGATATGATTACTGTTACAGGAACGAGCTGGTGTCATCAAGGCGTATATGATTATGTGGATTGTGTTCTTCTTACTCTCCATGTTCATATTCTTCCTCAACTCACCCCATTTCACCGCCGGGACCATCGCTACTGAAGTGTTCTATATTGGTAAGTATTAATTTGAAGATAATTATCACAGGTAGGAGTCTGACCACGAAATATCTTGTACGTTTATGTAGATTTCTATCAATAAGATTAGGAATTTTGGGAAAGTAATTCCTACTCCGACAAGTAAAATTTGTAATTGTCATTATCACCAACATTTTTATGCTTTTTTTTCCAAATTTTGTCTAGTATTCCAATGTTCAATATATTTGCAATACTTAATAAAATCGTTTTCATGAAAAGAAAGCTATAAAATTAGTGAAGAAATGTCCTATGATTGGATAACGCCATTGGATTGCCATTATTATTATTTGACAATTTCCCCCGTGTTATCAACTTCAAACAAAATTGTATTTCAAACTATTTTTTTTCCCTTTTCTAGATTCCCTCAGTATTTCAAGTTTCTCTTACAATTGTTTAATCTCTTACTTCTATTTCCTTCTTTAATATTGATAACAATTATAGAACTAATGAGTTTTCTCATTTGTAATTCATATTATTGACTATACATATTTTTTTCAGCTCACAATGTATACACAATTTTGCTCAGCCACAGTTTCAACAAGCAACTAAATAGCAGAGAAGAGGTTTAAATCTCTAGGATAAATCCAGGCTCCTTCCAATACCTATTGCTTTTGTTTATCCTGAACTAGCTGGAACTGTAAGTGTGAGAGGAGATACTTATCAATTTTGTCCCGGAGCAACTAAAGAGAAGATTGGAGAGAACAAATATTATTTATTTATTTTATTTGTTGAAAGACCAGAGTTATAAGTGCCAGTGATATTGAGTGTGAGTGTATGGATGAATGTGTGTATGTGTCTTTGTGTGTTCATGTGTATGTCTGTGCTAATATTTATTAGTTCTAAATGAAAAGCACATATATTATGTGCTAACGAAACTAAATTACTATGTTTTGTGAGAATAAAGTACCTGACTTCACAGTCCTCAGGAAGCTCTGTACGTAACGAGGACCTTTTTTACGATATGCTGGAGGAGTTTATTGATTTTATCTCTTATGGCACTAGGGGTATTGGACTCCGGAGTCCATAACCCTTCGCTCTATTACTTTGGGGATGCTCAAAGAGCGGTAACACACTTGTGACTCTTTGTCGGTCTTCATGGGCGGTCCTAGTCACTTACCATCAGTTGACCGTCAGCTCGTTTGTCCCTGTATGTTATGTTGTTTACCTTAGCTCTTTATTATTTCTTTAAATATTTATATATTTGTTCCTCCAATTGTGTAACCTAGCGGTGTCTTATGCCTTAAATTGTAATGGACTATGTATTGTTTAGGGTTTCAATAGCAAAATGTTTGTCAAATTATGTAGATATATATAAATGTGTAATGTATGTAAGACATTTTACGTGTTGTTATCAATGTATCCCAATTTATAAAATTAAACGTTGTTTATGAGATTTTTATACGCTTGTTACTAAAATAATTGGTGTTGTTTTGTTATTTTTCTCGGCATTCACGAGTGTCAGGTGTCGAACGCTTTACTCTTTGGAAATTTATCCTAGTTGGGACCGAAACTAGTCAGATATACCCGAAATATAGACTAATTATTTATTATGTATATGAAAAACTATTATTTTTTCGTGTGGAAACCTTAAGCGGTATGCCAGAATCGAACCGACTAGAACGAAACGGTGTTCCGAAACATGTGAGTCTATCCAGGGATTCGGATATACCGGTAGGACCGGTAGGAACTTAGCCGCCACGGGTAGCCACATTATTTGAGTGCAGATTGCCTTCCCTTCTTTCCTGTTTAGCAAGGAACCTTCTCAGATATGCTTCTGCTAGGGTAACGTTCAGCCTTACTGTTACCCCAATAAAAGATCTTATAAGACCAAAGTAAGTAACCCAAACGTATAATCAAAAACACCAGAGAGTACACAGCTACTGATATTAAATTTCAAATTAAGTTACTTTATTGATTATTTCGTTACATGACTTGACAAATTGTATTAATTTCAATGCAGAACTGCAACCAACACTGTATATTAAATTACGCTGATTATAATATTTTGTCAATAAAGTTTTGTCTTTGTTCACTGGTTTCATTTTAATTTTACAATGAATTATTAAAACATGAGACATCCGACAAACGCCTGCCTAATTTCTTAAATATTCAATATAACGTTATCAATTTATTATCAGGCGTGTCTAAGATATGTTTTAATGTTGCGAAATTAAAAATGACTGTGAACGTAGTTAATAATTGTTTGGCAATTGTACTGTGTAAAGTTTATTCAAGCACCATTCAAAATTTATGCAATAATATTAGATTTACTCTGATATTAAATATTTTAAATCTACAAATTATTACAGTATTTTTTTTTATTTGCTTACATCTAAGATTTTTTACAATAACATTTGGCACACTTAAAGGCGAAACGACTAACCAACTACGAGTAATTGCAAATTTTCTTATAGGAACAGCAAACATGACACGTTAATGTGTTCAATATAATAATATGTATTTTTAAAAAAAGAACGAGCCTTACAAACCTCGCCTTGACTGATTGACTAATTCATTGCAGAGCAACTATTGGGGCTAAAAACTTGAAAATTGGCAGTTGATGCTTTTTGTAGTTATGTTGATATTATGCTGATGCTATCTGATGCTTTAGATATGTTGTAACCTGAAAAAGGGTTTTTGAAATTTCACCCCTGAGGGGGTTAAATATGGGATGGGAAACACGAAATAAGAAATAATTAAGCGAGGGTAGCCGGGGCAACAGCTAGTCTGTCATATAACACTTTTACAAAGTAACAAAACAACTCCCCCAGGTCGCAAGAAGATGTTATACATTAACAATATAACTTCAACTTTTTTCTTAGCTTAAGTTAGGCAAACGATAGCCATGGGAGAGCCATGCATCGACTTAAAGGGCCAGATCGACCGGTGTAATATAGGTTTATCGTTACTTTTCACAAGGTGAGTGTGGTTACTTGAGTCAAAACCCTCTTCTACTGGAGGACTCAAAAGGCGGCAACGCACTTGCGGCCCTTGAGTTGCAGGTGTCGATGGGCGGTGGTAATCAAACTGTTATTTACCTTGCCTTTCAATATGGTTTAAATTTGCCCAACTGTTTTCCAAAGTGGTTGATAGAACTAAAATTTTAGTCGATACGAGTCGATATGTCTTAGTTAGTAAGTACCCCTTAGGGGTTATAGGCATGAGTGTAAGTTTATATGTATTTTAAGATAATTGGCAAAGAAAAGTAACATTCTTTGTGGAGAACAACAAAACAAAAGATATTAGGAACCAATATTCATAGACTCAGTTTTACAAAATGAAATTTCGTATATTGTTTTGTACAAATATTTTTTTCCTTACTAATAGATTAAAACTGGTTGCAATATTTTGTTTGTTGACTAAAAAATATGGCAAATCATAACCTAAAAGACTCAGGCTAAATAGAAAGTATGTCTGGTTAATATAAAAAATAACATACACTGGTCTAATCAAGTGAAACCGTTAGAATTAAAATCGTTTTAGATTTTTATGTCTTAACGTAAGTAGATACTTTTGATGAATCGCTATAAACTTTATGATATCCATCAGTTATTTATTTGTCAAAATAAATGAATGAAGTATAGGAATTTTAAAATATAAAATATATAAAAAGTTAAGCTGTTTCGTGGTATATAAATCAATGATAAATTCTATTTTGTACACTTAATTATGTAGGTAATCAAAAACTTTATTATTTATTTTATGTACGGTATTTAATATACCTATATTTTTACTTAAATTACTTAATTTTATTAAAAGCATCTTTGGTCGTGTAATATAACTTCGATACAGTAAAAAACTTTTATGAATACACATGATTCAATTAGAAAAAAAAAACCGGTTTAGTTTATGGTCAAACTGTCGCCCAGAGTCTCTTCTAAGCGGTCGTTTAATGGATCTTCATCCTGGTCACGGTGTCGATGGAATCTGAAGCCACTACCTTTTTGCATTAGTTCGTAAGCAGTGTGTATCACAACCAAGTAATGTATGTTGATTACTGGAAGTAAAAAAAAAAATTAGGAAGGACGGAATAATTTGAGGCAGCCTAAGAAAACTCCTTAAAAAAAATCACAGCTGTCTTGAAACGAAATATTTTAAACTTTATTTTTACATTTAAAATATAGCTTCAATTTTGAGTTATTTCCAAAAAAATATATCGAATGTTACTCGGGATAATGATCATGATTTTCTAACAACACTACATACATCTAAATTTAATTAGACATTTAGTGGGGTTTTTCTTTTCCGGAGTCGCGGGGACTTTACAAACATACATGACATTTGTAGACCACACAAAGTGTAGTGGGGACCTTTTTTTTTTTTTTTTTTTTTCCTTGCGGAAATCCCCTCGGATACCACCTGTCGGTGGCATGTCGGACTCGAACCGACTAAAACCGCACGCCTTCGCCGGGTACTAATAGAAGTAAGGTAGTTGAATTAAGAAATACATATGTACATGAACCCTGTAAATCTTTCCGATACTCCTTCTTTAGGAATTCGTGTATCGTTTAGAAGATTCGAAATTTCCAGAAACTGCTAGTTCGAGCTACTCATACACGAACTTCATCTTTGCGAACTTGCTCACACTCCTCAATACATAATTAAAAGCAATATCCCTTTTCTAAATTTGACTTGTCTTCTGACCTTCTTCTCCTTTCATATCGAACTCTAAATTCTCCCATTCAAATCCTATACTATCCAACTGATGGCAATAGACTTACCCCCTATTACATAAATCATCATCACTGTCATAAACCGCCTTTAACATCTGCTGGACATAAGATATCCTTAGAAAGGAGGGTGTGATACCAAGCTGGAAAGTTAGGTTGCGGCATCACCAGCTAAAGTTTTCCTTCTGTTGGCAGTGCTGTTGGCCTGCCCTTGCGACACCCACGGTATGAGTAGGGGTGTTGAAACTCCTTATTTTTATATGTCACGGAACGGTATACATCTACAAAAATATAGATGTTTAAATATTCCGCTAATTATCCCTTCGAGGAATGGAGTGTATTTGGATGTACTTACACGAGGGTATGAAGACAACAGATGCTAAGAACCAACATTTTTTCAGAAGCAGAAGCAATCCGCTAATTTGACCGAGGATTGTCAAAATGATGCCGAATGAGAAGTTGGAGAGTAGAAGGCTGGGCTGGTGCTGGAAGAAGTTTTTTTTTTAAATGATATAGTAGGAGTACTAGTGAAGAAAAAAAATCAAACATGACTTAAAGTGAACATATGTTACATCATTGACTGGTGTAATGGACTAGTGGTTGGCGATCCTGTTCTCTAAGCAAGAGGTTGTGGGTTCGATTCCATGGGATCATTAAAATATGTTCGGTGTCTGTGCGTAATTTATCTATTATATGTAATATATATTTAGAAATACATAGGTAGGGTAATCATAGCACATGCTGAGCCTTTAAATATATTGGATGATTTAATTAACATAAATAACTAAGATCTCTCTTCTAAGGGTTTCCTTCTCTGGTTTTAATATTTGGCCATATTTACAAGTTTTCGTAGGTTAAAAATCTGTTTTAAAATCTGTGGTCTAAGAGCTATGAGTGCCCAAATCTTCGAAAGTTTAGAGATCCTATTCAAATTTAATTTATTTGAACTTTTTGAAATATAATTAATTACCTTTAAGATCCCTACAACCAGCAGTATAGAGAAGATCATCCAGATGAATGATACCAGGGTTATGATGCTCAGGATAATGTTCACTGTTCCTATCTTCAGATCCATGCCCAGAAGCGTCGCAACTAAATGAGTCTGCTTATGAAGCAAAAGCATTTCTTTTTCCTTGAAGTAGTATGTAAGCGAATATACCATTAGGCTTGTTGATATAATCTGAAATGATAAAAAAATATCTGTAAGTGAAAATATTTTTTCACAAACAAGTTGCCGGGCCTATTAACCTGGTGATGATCATTTGTTCTGTACAGCATCGAATCAATACGGGATGGATGAAGTGGCGGCAGGTAACGGGAACAACTTGTGACCCCAGTTTCCCCTTAAAACTGAAGGGACAAATTTATAAAACTATTATCAGACCTGCCGTACTGTATGGTTCTGAAAGTTGGCCCATTAAGAGAACGGATGAGAGACGCCTGAACGTAGCCGAAATGCGAATGCTGAGATGGATGTGTGGTGTGACTCAGATGGACAAGGTTAGGAATGAGTATATACGAGGGAGTCTGAAAGTAGCGCCACTGGATGAAAAGTTAAGAAGTAATAGGTTATCTTGGTATGGACATGTCATGCGGAGGGATGAGGAAAATGTGGCGAAGAAAGTTTTAGGTATGAGAGTTGAAGGGTATAAGAGAAGAGGCAGACCGAAGAAAAGGTGGATGGACTGCGTGAGGGAGGATATGGCTAGCAAGGGAGTAAACAGTGAGATGACGCATGACAGAGTAGAATGGAAAAATCATACATACTGCGCCGACCCCAAATAAAATTGGGAAAAGGGTAGGCAGATGATGATGATGATCATTTGTTCTATGTCTAGGCGTAATTTATCTATAATATATATTGTTGCGCCAAAGGATTAAATGCTTCGATTGTTCCAGTATTGTTTGGAATGCGGAGGAATACTAGGGATCATTCTAGTAAATTCGATAGCGCTATAAAAGCGGAGCGTGTTGGCCGTACGACACAGTATCGTTTTACGACACAGCGAATTAACGTCGAAGCGAATTTCTAGTGCGACTCAAGAGTTATATGGTGATTTCTTCATTGTAATAGTGAGTGTTTGTAATTAATGTGCAATAAAAGTAATTAACCGACAACTTTTATTTATTATATACCTCGTTCGTCACAATATTTCTAAATATATGAGTATCTTTATTTAGAACTGTATGTGCCCAGTTGATGGTAATAAACTTACAATATTTTATTTGTACGGATGGCGTAGTGGTTTAAGCCGCTTATTACTACGCTGAGTGTGTCCGATCCCCACATGGGATGACACTTTGTTTGATTCAAAAATTGTTTGTTCTGAGTCTGGGTGTTGTTTGTGTCCGTTTCCATGTCTGTTTGTAAAGTCCCCCGGGACACAGGATATATTCGAATTTTTATTATATAGTAGCTATACCCCATCAGGCTTTGCTGTGGCACATTGCAGTTGCATTGATCAGAACTTAGTAACAAAACTGATTAAACTTAGTAAAAAGAACTTAGTAAATTATTGTTTACGCTCTGAAAATACCAAACAGCACTGAACTCACAAATCAAATCAATGGCGACTTTTTTTACGCGGCGGCAGACGATTGCTCTATCGATATGTCACAAATGCATATGTCATGATAGTTCGTCAAATATTTATATTAATAAGTATCCTCCATATACATAAAGTAATTTACTATGACCCACATTCCGCGTACTCATCGCGAAGAAGAAATAGAATTTGTGACCCCATTCAACGTAAAACTGCATTTCTCAGACGACAAAACCTCTTTCTTGCACCCTTTTTTTTTGCCACCTATGAACGTCTGCAACTCAGGAGCCACAAACGCGTTACCGGCCTTTTAGGAAGGAGTACGCTCTTTTCTTGAAGGTTTGAAGGTCGTATCGTTCCGGAAATACCGCAGACGATAACCCGTTCCACAGATTGGTTGTGCGGGGCAAAAAGTGTCTCGAAAAGCGCACAGTAGTGGAGCGCTAACTATCCAGGTAATGAGGATGAAAATTTTGCCGTGTGGAACGATGAAATTTGCGGCTGGTATTAGTCCGAACAATTCCTCGGAGGACTCTCCATGATATATGCGATAGAAAATGCAGAGTGAAGCCACATCGCTACGTAACTCAAACTCTCTTTATTTCATAAAAATTGTTTTTAAATCGTCTTTTAATGTGACTCTAAAGTCATAGATCAACACACACAAAAGCAACAATCTCTGTTTTGTCAAATAGTAAGCAAATAAATTTAACAAAAACCAAACCCATACAAAATCTATGATATGCCTGTGCCGATCTACAACCGCCCGTTTCCAAGGGGTTGAGCCTTATGAGAAGAAAGGGCAAACAAACTCAATGCCACTCTTTTGCAACGCCAAACGCCAAGGGACTGAGGTGCCCCTGCACATCGAGCTTCTTCGAGGCCAACTTGACCTTACCCTCTAAGTGACCCCGAAACTGGACTTCGCTCGATATGTCGATGCCTACGATGCGATAAAATACAATATATTTGTACAATAACTCGAACGCAATATTAAATGTTTTCTCCAAAACGACATACGAGTATAAGTGTAAATCTGCTATTCACAATTATTTAACACACACACAAACAAACGCGCGCACACACACACACACACAAACACACACACACACACAAACGCGCGCACACACACATTTAAACGCACCACAATATATCGACTAACTTAACAGGTGTGAATTCTGGAGTCCTGAAATACAGGACCTTCAGTCCACCCAAACTACAAATTTTATCTTTGCAGGCAATGTATCACATATTTTGTACTTTTCTTTTTGGTAATAAATTATATTATTATAATTGTATATTGTGGAGGGTAGTGTTGCAGTGCCACTGTCAACATCGGCTCCGTGCTTTAAACGTCAATTTAAATCTCAATAACACAAGTTACAGTATAATAAATAGTTAAAATCGTGGATAAGTGCTCAATATGTATGGACAAAGTGAAAACAAAAACAATAAACTAGTAAAACAGTGCAAAAAACAGTTATCACAACATTTGAAAAGGAAGTGCCATTTGTTTAAATGTTAAAACTATAGACGTTTTGTGAGACTTTATACATCAACGGAACGAAATCAATAAGCATTAGGTTTAGAACTGCGCTATAAGATAATTTAGTGAAAATACTGACAACATAACTACATACATACATTTAACTACATTTATAACAAAATGAGTCATTGAATTCAGCATTATCCGTTATAATACTACTGTACTCGTATAATACTACCTACACTCGAGTAACCGACCATACTTCCCAATCGCTTCGATTCGTGCAAGAAGTTCCTGCAAGCGAAAATAGAGGACACTACCTGTACCAAAACAAAACAAAGCCAATACATTTTAAATTTTTCTTTTACAAAATGACGCAGGAAATGTTGGAGGTAATAGCGGCGCTTCGCGCGATCCAAAAGGATCTTGATGAACAGAGAAAATTGATAAACAAAACTGCTGAAGAGGTGACAGACAAGGTAACAGTTAACATTAACAAAATAATTGAAGAAAAAATTGTAATCCTCGAAGAAAAGCACGAAAACCTTAAGTTGAGAGTGGAAAACCAAGAAAGTAGAATATACTACTTAGAGAAACATGCAAGGCAACGTAACCTAGTATTCTTTAGGCTAGAAGAAGATGAAAAATCATACCATAGTATGGAAACCAACATAACAGATTTTATAAATAAATTTCTCCCGATAAAAATAGATTGTACGGACCTAGAAGTCGTAAGAAGAATAGGAAAAAAGACCGAAAAGCCACGACCCGTAGTAGTTACTTTTGCAACCCTGGGGAAGAAGATTGGTATCCTTAAAAACAAAGGAGTTCTAAAAGAAACACCATATTATGTAAAAGAGGACTACCCCCCTCTGTTCTACAAATAAGGAAAGAGCTGCAAGAACGAGTGAATGTCGAAAGGGAAAAGGGTAATAAGGCTATAATTAAATATGACAAGCTTGTCATATTAGAGAACACACCTAAAAATAATAAAAACAAAAAAGAAGCCTCCCAAACTCGCCGGAAAATGCTCCAAACAATTTTGCCCAGCAAATACCTCATGTATATAACAAGAACAAAACTGTACCTTGCCCTTACAATGCAAAAGTCTTTGAGTCTGCCCGATAACATTGTAATACCGGGGATATTAAACTACGTGACTATCAAGAACAATAATAACAACACAAACAAAGAATACAATGCCACCAAATCATAGCAACGAGCACTGCAACCCCTCCCGAAAAACCCGAAAAACCACAATGAAGAACATACAACAACACACAAAACACATCTCCCAATCCCCAATCCGGCCGGTCACCGTGGGAGGAAAAGACCTAAACCCTCCAGAGACAAATACTTCAAATAAAGTGGAACCTACTCTATATTGCAACATTCTATGTAAATACATTATCTTTTACCAGAAAAAGAGAAAGACCCATAACCAGATGGGTGCACGATACCACACAAGTAGCAGGCAAAGACTAGCAAACAGAAGCCAATGACCGTGACCACTAGAGTTCTCTCTGGAGGAGGCCTTCACCCTCACAACTTGAGGGGTTCATGCATATTTTATTAGAAACTTTTCTTTAATTTAAAACAATTTCAATTATTAAAACAAGAAAAAATATTTTTTAATTTTACGCATCTTTAATAAGTAACATTATTATTATAAGAGCAATCAAAATATATTTTTTATTTTAATTTAATCTATTAAAAAATTAATTCTATATATTGTTTTCATGATTGTAACTAGTGTAATGCAAAAACAAAAAAGAAAAATTTGTTAAAATCGGATATTTAATGCATGAAATAAAAGGCTTTTTTATTTATTTATTTTATTTTTAATTGTATATTGTGTTACTTGTGGTAGAAATAAACATATTTTTATTATTATTTTATATGTCACAAATGTTGTTTGTAACGTAAGTTGGCCACGTATTCTATTCGCAACCGCAAGGATAGGATTCCTCAAGTCTCAAACATAGGATACATCAAAGATGGAGAAAGGGACTGAGGCAATAGGAGCCTTTAATTTCATCATAAGCCTTTAATAGTTTACTACTGAACATAGAATTCTCCTTAGAAAGTAGGTTATGGTCTATTATACCATGCTGGTATGAGACGGGTTGTCGACGTGTGACGACTGAC